GGCTCAGGTGTACCAACAGAGGCCAATTGATGAGGCACAAACAATAGTTACACATAGGAGAGCATTCAAATGCAGGTGATTGCAGTTTGGGGTAAGTGTGGCCCCAGGACTGTTCCAGAGCCTCATGGAACTCAACAGTTCATACAACAGGATAAGCTATAGTCTATCATTTACACAGTATAGTGATTACGCCAACTGCATATTAAGTCCAAATCAAAGAAACTAGTTTTCAATTTTATGCAATACAATGTGGCCCAGCATGTTTTATAATTTGAAGAAATGCCACCAGTGACCTACTTCTCTGATGGCTTCATCTCCTTGTGACTGATCTGTTATTAATGCTGCACACCTAGGCTGAAAGACCATGGAGTCAAGATATAGTTCATCTAATTAGGTAAGCACTACAAATTTAGGAGAGAAAGTAAACAGTAGCTAAATAGTTTTCCAAGGGAAAAAAGAAGAAAATGCTGGCTTATATCAATTTAAAAACAATACAATAGACTGTAAAACAATTTAAACACCACCAATAAAGCTGAACAGCTGCAGCAGTTAAAAAGTAAAGGGCCAGTCATTAAACACGCAAAAAGAAAAACAGGTAATATGCCTAAACACACAGACTTCACTAAGTAGTAGAATGTAGGGGGATGCTTGGATGGTTCAAGGAAGGGATTGCCAAAATTTGATGGCTGGTTTTTTTAATCAGCTTCATCTCATGCACATCTGGCCCATAGAGATCAGCCTATTCAGAATATTTTTAAGGAGCAGTATAAAAAGCAGTGAAAAGCAAGATAGGTGGAAGAGTCAAGATATCATCATTTAGGTAGCCCAGACACAAATCAAATGATTTTTAATCAATATCCTCTTAAATTTTGCTAGGGCACAAACTGATATACAATTATAAATTTCAGGAAGGAGGACCTTAGGAGACAACTCTTCCCATTGGTTGGGAAATTTGGGCAGTAATGGAGATGGTAGAGTGAAGGCATGAAAAAGAAAATTACACCAAGAAGTTCAAATCAGGGATGAAATCCTACTGGTTCGGGCCAGTTCACCCGAATCTGTAGTAAAAAATGCTACTGATTCACCTGAACTGGTAGTAAAATATGCTAAAAAAAGTTTTAAAAAAGTTCTGACAATTGCTTGGCACAATTGATTGTCGCACAGCTGATCATCTGAACTTATTTTTTTACTTTTTAAGCATTTTATGCTTAAATGCTTAAGCATTTAAGTAAAAAATGTTTTAAAAGTTAAAAAATTTTTACTTAAATGCTTAAGCATTTAACTTAAAAAGTTAAAAAAAAAACTTCCGATGATTAGCTGTGCGACAATCAGCTGTGCCACGTGATTTATATTCACTAGAAAGCAGGAAATCCTGCTTTCTAGCAAATCTAAATCACGGGGCACAGCTGTTCCTCCCGCTCGCTGTTCTACTTACCTTTGCAGACTCAGAAAAGGCTTCTTAGCGCCTGCAGTGTGCCTGTGCACAAAGTGTGCATTTGGCATGAAGTGAACTGGTAGCAGACTTCACAGCATTTCACTCCTGGTTCAAATCCATGCCAAGGTAAATTGTTATATAAAAATCAGGCAATTTGGACTTGGCATTAGTAGAAAGACAGAAAAGTGATTAAATGAAATGCAGTAATATTAGGAAATAATTATTTTATATTATAAATCCTCAAGTAAATGTCAGATTGCATTGACTAGTTTCAGAAGCACTGAAGCACTTATGGGTTGAAAGGATTAGCTGGTGACATCAGTGCTGCCTGAGAGATTCAGTTGGGGGCTGCTTTCATATCCCTGGCAGGAGTTAGAGTGAAGGACAGGAACTCACCACACCCCACACCAGCACTCAGATCTCAAACGTGGGCTTGCTAACCTTCAACCCAATGTCCTAACCACATGAGCCACCATGTTCCTTAGTAAATGCCAGATAGCACAGGATTATTATGGGTGTGTTTGTTCAATAATGAGTTTTCTATCTTTTGCAATGGATACCATAAAATGGAATCCTTCTGCACAGTACCCTCTGTACCTTCTGAGTCCTTTCTTGTTTATCAAATACTGCCATGTAGGGAGAGGGATTTCTAAAAATCTGCATGGGATAATTTGCTAAACGGTCTAATGCTAAAATTATTTGTACGTTTTTATTGTGAATGAGACAAGAGTGCACTGCTTAATATAACATATTGCCTACTTCAAAAACTCCATGGCCTTTTGTCTCTCTTCTAATAGAATCACATTGTAGATTCTCCATCTTCTAGATAGAGAACTCCCCAAAACCTCAATAATGTAAGATATACAACTGATAATAGTTCAGTGTTACCTGAATATTATTATCTAATTATGAAAACAGTGTTAATATCAATTTAAACTTTTGCAAAATATTATGAATGTAAAATGACTTCCAGATAGAAGGGACTGACTTATTTCTAGTAATATTTTAAATAAAATACTTCCAAATTTTGTGGCATATGTAGAAAGTTAGCACCCACCCTTCTCCTAGAAGAATGAAATATTTTGAAAAATATTAAAAAGGCAGAATATTATATTTCCCTGGATGAGAAATATATACATTTTTTAGAGGGAGAAAGCAGCCCACACTTTCCTTAATAGCTCACAGCAGATGTCAGCACTTAAGAGATAAAGAGATAAGCAAATACCCCTCACCCATGATCCAACAAAGGTAGGATTAGACCTTAGCCACATTAGGAATTGCCCAGTGCCCCTTCATTACATCACTCTAAACTTCAACCAAACCTGGGAGCTCAGACAACCTATAGAGCCAGTTATGACCCCCACATAACCCCTACATGGCCCCATGGAAGTCTGACAACAGCCAATAGAATACATGTTGTTGCACAGGAACAGGAAGTTCAAGTGCAAAGCCCACAGAAGGTATAAAAATCCTCATTCTCAGTTCCATGTGGTCAAATGCCCAGAATCACATGTACTTGGTGATTCTGCTTCATCAATAAATGGACCCTCTTTCAAATCAGCTTCCAGCCTCTATTTTGTCTCCAGTGCCTTTCTCCCAGCTTGGAACTGAACCAGATGGATCTTTCTTTCAACACATAGAATTTATTAGGAAAGAATGAGTCAAAATCTATCTATTGGATGATTTCAAATCTAAACATTTCTTTGAGAGTGGGCAAATTAGGGGGAAATTCTGAGGTGTCTTTCTTTTAACATGAAATAACCAAATACAAAAATTCAATTCTATTGGTATAAATTCCATAAAAAACCACATTAGTATGGATTTAAAATGCTATAAAGAGAGCACTTAGGTTGGGCCAGAGCTTCCATTCTATGTACAATCATCAATTGTGCAACCCCAAAATTAGGTAATTTGCAAAATCCAGACAACTAAATTTGGTCATTATCTGTAGGCAAAGGCAAAGGTTCCCCTCGTACATATGTGCTAGTCGTTCCCGATTCAAAGGGGTGGTGCTCATCTCTGTTTCAAAGCCAAAGAGCCAGCGTTGTCCAAAGATGTCTCCATGGTCATGTGGCTGGCATGACTAAATGCCAAAGGCACACGGAACACTGTTACCTTCCGACCAAAGGTGGTCCCTATTTTTCTACTTGCATTTTTTACGTGCTTTCGAACTGCTAGGTTGGCAGAAGCTGGGACAAGTAACAGGAGCTCACCCCATTATGCAGCACTAGGGATTTGAACAGCTGAACTGCCGACTTTTCGATTAACAAGTTTAGCGTTTTAGCCACTGAGTCATCTTGTCCTCTTCATTATCTGTATGTGCTGGCTAATAGGAAATTCAGGATCCAATCTGAGATGGTCACCTGGATCAAAGGTTTATTCTTTCAAGTTTTCAGGCTTATGCTGGAGCCCATAATCAGGAAACGGCTCTCTCTCTCTCCAGATCTGACTGATTCAGATTGGATCCTGTAATGTTATCGTGGGACAAATATATTTACCCTCATTTGCAATTTGAGTATTCTTTAAGTGCAGCCCCTCCCCAGACTTCCACCCACTTTTCTTCCCTACTTTTCATTACAAGCCCTTGTCACAATCCAATCTTGATTTCAGAAATTAAAGCTAACAACCAGATTGAAAGAATCAGGGGAATGACAGCATGGGGCGCCATCTCAAAGCCACAACTAACAGCATGAGGCAGAGCGAAGCTCAAGTTATTGCAGCTCTTATACAAAGCAGTGCAAGGAGGGTGGGGGACAGAAGGAGGGAAGCACATGAAGAAAACATTTGCAGGCAAGCTCTATTCTAGCAAACCTCGTTGGCTGTCAAGCTGATCTATCCACATGTTGACACAAAGAGTTTTCCTCTCCTCCCATCCCATGCTTAATGTTTTAATTAAATGCCTAAAAGCCAACTATTCCCAGCCAGTGTCAGAGATGGTGCCTCTCTCCTGATAAATGTTTACAGCCGAAGCTGTGCTGAGGGTTTTGGCAAGCAAGTCTTAGAGAAGTGCAAAGGCTTTCAATAGATGCACTTGAGAGCAGACAAGCAGTCATGATGAGAAAGTGGCAATACAATCACAGGATGGTTTAATTCACACACACACATGCACACCCGCCCCAGGTATCAGCCCCTGGTTTACAAGTTGGCAATCCCATCTCCATCTGCAGGCAAAAGGGCATTAGTTAGTCATCTGTTTAATTCTCTCACCACAGCATGTCATTTGGATGTTGAAGGAAAATCCCTTGATCCAGGCTGCCATTTCTGACAGCCTCCCTCTAGACCACCTGAATAGGCATTTTTTTTTTGTTTTAAACAGAGAGATGAATGCAGAATAAGTAGCTGGTTCAAAATGGAGACAGGCTACAGTGGCCAGAAATGTCTTGGCATAACAGGGGTAGGTGGGTGAGGGAGAAAATATTTGTGTCTGTTGTTGAAGTAGCCATTTAAGCAGGGACCAAGTTGAGATGTGTCCTTTGTAAGAATGATATAATAACAATACAGCCTCAGAAGCTCCACAGTGTGAAACAGAAAGGGACAGGAAGTGAATCCAATACATTTAAATTACCTTCCTAAAACATTCTGTTCAGGTAGGGAGGAGAGAGATAGGAAATCCACTGAGTTGATGACATGATGCAGGGAATATCCCTCAAAAAATAAATGTGCTGTTCTTTCTTTATACACAAGCTTACATCTCATTGTGATGTCACAAGGGAATGGTTCAGCTTGGTAATTCTGTTGCCAGGAGGTAGGTGAGTGCTGTGATATAGGCAGTCCTGCTAAAATGGTGCAGGATTTTAATGTCCTTTGAAAGCCTATAATTTGTTAGACAAGGGGTTGTTAACGGCTGCAATTTCCTGCTCCAATTCTACATATAATGTCTGGACAGTATATTGTGACATGTGCTATTTTTTCTTAACCAGTTGCATGATGATGGGTGTAAATGATGCACAGGATCCCTGAAAGAAACTATTGAAGACAATGAAATAGTTGCCAGATTTTGTGGTTGCTTAAACAACAGGCAGGTTTGCATTGTCCATTGAAGGTGTTGCTGAATGTCTTTGAACATTAAATTGGGATGCATTGCAAAGGGTTAAAAAGAGGAAAATAAAGAATATAATCTTGCATGATGGGAAAAGATGTATGTGAAGCTTGGAGAGGATTTTGTCAAGCAGAAAATTGACAAAATCTGCTATTAATTATTGTGCTGCTGTTATCAGGGGTATTACCATATTCAAAGAGAGTGGAGCAAGTGCAGCTTCATGAAATGCTGAGTAACTTTAGAACTAAAGCTCTTTATTTTCCAGGGATTGAGAAAATACAAGGCAATGGAGGCGAGAAGAGCTAGTTTAATTTTCAGACATGAATGAGCTCTGCTAGAATGTAGTGTATGTTCCTGTTTAAAGCATTCTTATGAATTGCAGAGAAAAATTTCAGGGATATTTTATTTAAAAATAATGTATATTGTTTTGGGGGAAATTATTCAGGGTGATACTATTAAAAAGAAATATGAATAGAATATTTTCATTTCAATCTAGAAGTCAATAATTTGTTGATAGTGATAAGGAAAAATAGAGATTTTTTTTTACTATTCCTTGTCTCAAATTTAAAAGTTTGTAATTCAGAATTCTTTCCAATTTTCCAATTTTCTCTAGCATTTACAGCAGTGAGCTCTTGCTTCTAAATATTTGCAGCACAAATATTTGAGACTGAAGGAAAGAGATGATCTAAAACTTAGAGGAAATATTTGAAAAGTTGGACTGAAAATTTAGAATGGTTTTAATAGACTGTGATGTAATCAACTATTTCTTATCAAAGTTTTTAACAAGGGGAATTGTTTTTCATATTCTCAAACAAAATAGAAACCGAATTCTAAACCTAGGTCAGAATTTGAGACTTGACTCCAGGTTATCTTTACTTTTTTTAATGTCATAGCTATGTTCATGATAACCGAGTGAGAAAGATACACAGTGTGAACTGAAATGCCTCATTTTAAAAAAACTATTACAATTAAAAGAAAGTTCCTTCCTATTGAAAGACATAGAAGAACAGAGTATATGTAAAAACTATAGCTCATATTGTGTTGAATTTTTATTTACCAACAAAGAAATAAAGTGAGACTTTATTTCTTTGTTGGTACATAAAAATTCAACACAAAAATAGTTTGTTGTGTAAGTGACTGCCTGTGAAGGCTCTTGGATTGGAGCTGAAAAGTGAAAGCAGAAGCAGTATAACCTGTCCTATAATTGGGTAGACCAGGTTGGAGCTGAAAAGTGAAAGCAGAAGCAGTATAACCTGTCCTATAATTGGGTAGACCAGGTTGCCCTGATAAACTAGTCTCACCGGAAAAAAAAAACACTTTATAGCTCATATTATTGATATGTAATCAGTAAACAGAGGCTATTTCAGTGAAGTGTCTCTCTACTCTGCACCAGAGTGCAGAGAAAAGCAGCAAAGATTAATAGGTGACTGGAAGCTAAAACATACAAAGAACAGTTGCAGGGATTGGGCATGTCTAGTTTAATGAAAAGAAGGACTACAGGTGATATGATAGCAGTGTTCCAATTTTTAAGAGGCTGCCACAAAGAAGAGATCAACCTATTTTCCAAAGCACCTGAAGGAAGGACAAGAAGCAATGGATGGAAACTAATCAAGGGGAACCAATCTGGAACTAAGGAGAAATTTCCCAATAGTTAGAACAATTAATCAGTGGAATGACTTGCCTCCAGAAGTTTTGGATGCTCCATTGCTGGAGGTTTTTAAGAAGATATTGGACAATCATTTGTCTGAAATAGTTTCTTGCTTAAGCAGGGGGTTTGAGTAAAAGACCTCCAAGGTCCCTTTCACTTCTGTTATTCTGTTAAGTGTAGATTTCTTTGTTTGGTGGGAGAAACTCCATAACTAAAAACCACTCTTGTCTGTAATTATTAAAAAATGGGGAAGCTGGGTCTTCTGTTACATCTGATCATCATGCTATACTAAAGAAAAAAAAGTCAAGATAAAGATTAAATACTACTGAAATATTGGAATGGCCCCTACAGATCATAACTAAATTGCACTGGTTGAAAATTTAAATAGACATATGTGAGAAATTAAAAACCAAGACCCATCTTCTATTATATCATTGTTAAATTCATAGCCATCTGTTTTGTTATCTATACCCAGTCATTACTAATTTGGATTTTTCTATGAATGAACAATTCTAGTTTAGAATTAACAGTCCAGTTCTAATAATCTCAAAGAGAGATGCTATTTGTATAAATAACTGATGTCTTTTAAAAATATTAACATAGTTGATGTGTTAGAAAAAAAGGGATCAATGAGTACATCGGTTTCATATTTAGTTACATTTAGAAGAGATTCATTGAAACTTAATTGTGACTAATTAAAAACTTAATGGTTTGAGCAGGAATACTGTAAGCATGATTACATCTCAAAACAACCCAGAGTGATCAACTCCTTATAGAATCTTTAGATATGTCATGTTTTGCATTTCTTAATATGGACAAGTATTTTTTTGAGAATAGTAAGTATATTTTTTCACAAAACGTCATGGGTATTGTTTGTTCTAGAGATTACAATGTTTTGCTTATTTCCTAGGAATTCACATAACATGGCACTAAATTAAAGCAATTTATAAAATGTGTTGAATTTAAACTTTATATGTAAAAAAACCCCAGCAGCCTGAATTATTCTTATAATTTTACACATGAGTCAATTGCGCAGAATGTAGTATTGGCATACAAAACTGTAAATTTATAATTTTTAAATAATATATGATTGAAAATAATACCAAACACTGACTCTGTGTCTCTCTTATAGATACACATAAACACAAAAGCACAAACATCCATTGGTCAGAAGGGATTGAGACTCATCAAGGGAACAAGTATATTAAGTAGAGGTTCCACAGTATAATTTTGATGAATGCCTGGGTTATAGCATAATATTCAAAACACCATAAAACAATTTTGATGAAGCCTGTATTTTGCTCTCCATATGTCAAGGTAGTTATAAAAGTTATATGCACAATGATTTTTAAGACAAGCTATTTCTTACCTTGCAAGTGAACATCATATGAGATGAATGACTGCTTTGTTTGAGAGCAGAAGATTAAAGTGAATATGGGCCGATATTACTTGAACTTTTCTATAGTTTAAACAATGTAGCAGGCTACAAGTTAAGCTTGCATAAATATGATTATTTCTCTTAAGTATAGTCTCTTAGAACAAGCTACTTCGTCTTCTAATGAACTAACCCCAACAGATATAAATAATAAAGAATAAGAATGACAATAAAACTAAATAAATACTCTAACATAAACATAGGAAAAATACATATTTTCTAAAATATAGATTTTCTAAAGCTTCAAACTGATGATGCTGAAACTTGGACTGGAATTATAAAACTGGATTAGATATTCCCACTAAAGGTCTAGAATTTCAGCCTTTGAAGATAAGATTTTACCTCTGATGATTCCTCCAAATAGTGGAAAGAAATATAATTTCTTTCTAGTTTATGTCAACAGTGATGTCATAGACATCAATTATCCCCAACTGGTTTCAATGTGGCAATTAGTTGGGGAAATTTTTTTTCTGTGAAAGGATTGTGAGCACAAAGGTCTATCAGATGTCTATGAACTTCTGATTCTTTGGTACATTCAACATAATGATTGTAGTGAACATGTTAAGTTTGCTCTTTAACACAACAATGTGTTAAATAAAACATTCACCTAGCAACTGTGGGATGATAAAATGAATTTTAGTACAAAGGACTTTTTAAATGTTGTGATAAAATCTAAACAAAAGAAAAAAGAATTAACTGATCTAATGCCATTCTGTATTGTTTTTTGTTCTGCTTCTTTTTGACATATTTATAAGAATGTAAGCAATTAACTTATCAAAGGAAAAAAGCTGATGAAGTGGGAATGATTTCTTTAGCTTTTCTTCCTGGTGTTACAATGCCAGAATGGCATTTAATTTCAAAACACTAAAGTATTTTATAATAGGATACTAAAATTAAAGTGGACAAATTAGAAGAGAAATAGGCCTCCCTTCAATATTATTTTAAGAAATACATATATTGGTTTAATTATTGAATATCAATTTTATCAATATCACAATGAATGTAAATTAATCTTCTTGGAACCAGTAACTATAGGCATATATAAATTAACAGTTAAATTGATGGATTGCTGCATCACTTTGTATGACATGGGTGGCCATATAAATTTGATTAATAATAAATAAATAAAATAATATATAAATGACAAATAAACATGTCATTTTAGAATATGTTTGCCAGGTAATCTGATCCAGAAATCCACATATATCTTGATATGGATTTTGTAGCGTTCACTCCATGGACTTCAGCAAAAGCAGCAGATAATCATGGAGTAGTAAATGTGTAATTTATCTTCACCATTGCAGTTTGGAGATGAATTGTTTTTAACAAAATCTTATTATCATAACGTGTCCAAATTAAAGCAAAAGTTAGCACCTGTTTAGAATGAATGAATGCAGCCATTTTTACTGAGAATATTTTAAGAAAATGAAGATTTGTCCTATCATTCCAAACAGAAAACTTGTTGATAGAAAGCCTTCATGAATAAATATTGAATGCAAGCTTGATATCAATTACACTGGATAAATGAATAAAACAATGAATTAATAAGAAAACAGAAAAACAAAAGAGGAGTCCATTTATCTGAATAAATAAACAATTCTAATCAGTAAATTGTCAATTATAAAATATTATTATTTTCCTCCTTCCTTCTTCATAATTAAAATGTACACTAGACCCAAATTACCTCATATCTCAAATCAATAGTAGCAATAATACATGAAGAAAAAACATACATTGTCATGATGAAGAAGAAGCCACATGATGATCAGTATCAGAGATAATGTATTAGCAGACTTCCTATGCATTGGAGTAATAGCCTCCCATTAGCTGAGCTTGTGAGTTCTCA